GGATCTACCAGAAGACTGAATATCCCTTTCAGTGCACCATTAATATCTAGGAGGACTAAGCAAACACTTAATAGTGTGTGTCAAATCCTGTTACAAAATCTGTGTGACAGATATGTTCAGGCCTGGCTGATGGTCCAAATATTTCAAATATTTTCAATACAACAACAAATTTGGACAGACTCCAATTTGCCATTTTGAGGTTTGACCTGTGGTAGGCTCTGGGCCTTATGTTGGCTTATATGTCAAAGACTATAATGATTATCTGTGGACTTGCCAAACCGTCTTCTATGAAGGAAAGTTACAGTATTAATTTTTGAAGAGATCTTTTGTTTATTCTGCAGTTTTTGAGTTGTTTTGTTCTGTTCTGTTTTTTTTACCTACAGATTAATTTCTGACTAAGGTTAAACTCATGAATTGATATGCTATACCAATCTGTGCAGTAAAAATTTTTTTCAGATGATTCTGTATAACTTCCTATCATAAATAATATAGGTATCTGAATTTATATACTAAATTTAGGGGTGGAGTAGATCCCATGTCTTAAAATCATGGTCATAACTTTTGTTTGATTGCTTGCTTGTTTGTTTTTTCCCCTAAGTGATCAGCCTCAACTCTTTAGAATTAAAACACATTAACTCAAAAAAAAAAAAAAAAAGAAAGTTTTTCCCTACTCCAAGATCACAAATATAATTTATGTTTATTTCTAAAACTATAAAGTTGCCTTTACATTTAAGTCCATAAGACATCTGTAATTTTTGCATATGGTGTAAGTTAGGGGACCAATTTCACGTTTTCTCACTAGATCAATTATATAGCAACATTTATTGAAAATCCATCCTTTCTACCACTGATAAAAACTACTCTGCCACATATCATGTGTCCTTATATGGCATGTTCTCCACTGGGGCCTGTTTTGTTTATCCCAGTGCCAATATTACACTCTCTTAATTACCATCACTTCAAAAGAAGATGTAAAACAGTTCCCGTTTTGCTTTTCTCCAAAACACAGACTTTGGCCTGGGGTTGCATTGTGTTGACTCTATGAATCAATCTGAAGAAAACTGATATATTTAAAATATTGGGTCTTCTAATGCATGAAAATGGTATATTTTCCCACTTATTTAGATCTTTAACTTCTTTCAAATTTATCTGTACTCACCTTTATATTTTCTAAGTCTATAATCACTTCATTTGCAAACAATGACAGTTTTATCACTTATTTCCCAATACTTACACCTTTAAACTGTTTTTCCTACATTATTGCACTGGTAAGGATCATCAGCAAAGTGGTAGTAAAAGACAATCTTGCCTCATTCCTAAAATAAAAGAAAGATCTTCATCATTTCACAAGTAAGTATTATGCCTAGAAGAGGTTTTTAATTTTGAGGTAAGGCAGAAATATTTTACTAGATTAAGGAAGCTCCATGTTACTCCTAGTTTGATAAAAGTTGTTTTTTTTTTTTAATGCATGAGTAGATGTTGAATTTTGTCAAATTTTTTGCTGAAATTTTTAATATGTTTTCCTGGTTGGTTAGTGTGATAAATTATAATTGATTCTTTTTTAAAAATATTTATTTTTTAGTTGTACACAATACCTTTATTTTGTTTATGCATTTTTATGTGGTGCTGAGGATCGAACTCAGGGCCTCGCATGTGCTAGGAGAGCACTCTACCACTGAGACACAACCCTAGCCCTATAATTGCTTCTTAAATGTTTAGCCAATGTTGCTTTTTTAGGATAAATCTAACTTGGATGATGTATTATCTATTTCATATGTTGTGTGTATGTGTGTGTTTGAGAAAGGATCTTGCTATGTTGCCTATGCTGGCTTGAACTCCAGGGCTCAAGTGATCCTCAGCATCAATTGCTTGAATAATTGGAGCTACAGGCACATGCTACCCAACTCATTTTTTTAAAACAGTGCTGGGAATAGAACCCAGGTCCTTGCCCATACAAGACAAGTATTCTACCACTGAGCTATATGCCTCAATGCAGTTATATTTTATTTGGTGATAGTTTGCTTTGCATCCATGACACAGAAAAGTGATTTTCTTTTTTTGTTCTATCCTGATTGATTTTGGCATCGAGGTTACTCTAGTTTCATAAAATGAATTGTATCATGTTCCTTCTTCTTCCTTTTCTATGATATAATTTGTGTAAGTTGTCTTCCACGAATACTTGTAGAGCTTACTACTGGCACAGTCTGGACCTGGAGTTTAATTTGTGGGAATATTTTTAAAGTTTTGTTCTAACTTTTCTTAAAATTTGTTTTGCTAAAGTACATTTTTCTAGGGATATGTCTACTTCATTAAAGTATTTGAAGTTTCAAATCTTCCCTTATTATATTAAATTACATCTAGAGCATCTGTAGTGATATTTCATGTATCATTTTTGAAACTGACTACTTGTGACCCTTTTTATTTTTCCTTGATCAGATTTACCAAAGCTTTCTTTATTTTGTCAGTTTTACAAAGAACTAAGTTTTGGCATTATTGATATTCAACACGTTATATGGGCTTTTATTTCATTATTTTATGTGCTTACCTTTATGGTAATTTCCATTCTATTTTCTTTGAATTTATTGTGTTTTTTAAATTGTCTTAATTCTTGAGGTGGATACTAACTCAGTAATTTTTAGTCTTTCTTCTTTTCCAATATATAGAGTTAAGGCTATAAAATGCTCTCAAAGTACTTCTTGGCTTCATTGAAAGAATTTAATTATGTGGCATTTTCATTCTCTTCAAAATATCTTCTAATTATAGTTTTTCCCCATATCTCTGAATTCATGGAGTTTTCCCACTTTTGTTATTGGTTTCTGGCTTAATTCAAATGTGGTTGGAAAAAAAGCTTTATATTATTTTAGTCACTTCGACATTGCTGAGACTTTTTTGACTTCTTTTCTCATCATTTTGTAAGGTGCTAAAAACTGAAGCATAAATTCACTGGTTTGGGAAAATAACCTCAGGGAAAGAACAGTTCCAGCATTTTCTAGATCTATTCAAGTTCCCATTTTCACCTAGATTTTTGCCTTGTAGTTCCTTACTATATTACTAGCTTTTCCATACTTTCAGAAAGGTAGGTTTGCAAATATTTCATCCACCATTTTTATTATCAGCAAGACTGGTCTGAATCACATCATTCAGACAACAAATTTAGATTCCCACTTGCAAATTATTGTTTTTTGATGTATATAATTAACCGTGTTTTGAAAAACAAAAAGTGTTTTAAATGGATAATGAACAATCTGATCACTTTTTGAAGGGACATTCATGTTTCTTAAACAGAACAGCACCCTTCAATATTGTTTTTTGGAAGACACTAAAACCATCTCAGTTGGCCAGCTCTCGAGACTACCAAAGAAATCATGGGCAGGGTTTGGTGGCACATGCCTGTAATCCCAGTGGCTCAGGAGGCTGACATAAGAAGATGGAGAGTTCAAAGCCAGCCTCAGCAAAAACGAGGCACTAAGCAACTGAGTGAGACCCTGTCTCTAAATAAAATACAAAATAGGGCTGGGGATGTGGCTCAGTGGTTGAGTGCCCAAGTTCAATCCTGGTACCCCTAAAGAGAAAGAAATCATGGTTTTATCTTTATGTTAACCAGTTAATTTTATCCAAGGGACTATATATTCTACATACTGAATTCTAGGCTGCAGGGGAGCACAGGGAAGCGCCTCATTATTTGAAGAACAATCAAAGTAAGTAATAATTTAAGGTTGATATATGGTGATGTTATATCAATAATACTGTGGTGTGCCAGACATGAGAAATTTTAGACATTATCCTATTTAATCTTTGCTGCAACATTTTAAGGTAAATACTACTCACTCAATTTCTTCCATGGGGGAAACTGAGTCAAAGAAAGTGACCAGCAAAGGATACACACAGGAAATGACAAGAACCAAGAGTCCAACAAAGATCTGTTTTTATCCCAAAGTCACATTCTTTCTACCAATTCCTACTACCTTTTGTCTTCATACATGAAAAAGCTGAGTGTAATACATCAAATTAGATCTGCAATGGAGCATAGCCTCACAGGAATGGGACCTCAAATAAATTATGTACAAATGAAAAAAAAAAAAACCTCTGCAGTTCCTACTTAGTGCCAGTTACTATGTCAGGTTCTTTCATGTGCATTTTCTCATTTTAGTCCTTTTAATTACTTTAGGAGGTGACTTCCATCAAATTCCAGCTCCTTTTAGTTCTCCCTTAATAGATGAAAGTATTTTAGTCACTTAGACATTGTTGAGACTTTTTTGACTTCTTTAGAAATGCAGTTATCTCACAAAGGGGGGATAACTTTCTCTGGGGCACACCACTAAGTGGTAAGTGCCCTAAAGGGAAGTAATATCTAAGGATCCATGCCTTGGAAAAGTATTTGCTCGCATTAGAGCAGATTATGCTAAGTGAAGCTAGCCAATCCCTAAAAAACAAATGCCAAATGTCTTCTTTGATATAAGGAGAGTAACTAAGAACAGAGTAGGGATGAAGAGCATGAGAAGAAGATTAACATTAAACAGGGATGAGAGGTGGGAGGGAAAGGGAGAGAGAAGGGAAATTGCATGGAAATGGAAGGAGACCTTCAGGGTTATACAAAAGTACATACAAGAGGAAGTGAGGGGAAAGGGAAAAATAATACAAGGGGGAGAAATGAATGACAGTAGAGGGGGTAGAGATAGAAGATGGGAGGGGAGGGGATGGGGGATAGTAGAGGATAGGAAAGGCAGCAGAATACATCAGACACTAGTATGGCAATATGTAAAAACGTGGATGTGTAACTGATGTGATTCTGCAATCTGTATACGGGGTAAAAATGGGAGTTCATAACCCACTTGAATCAAATGCATGAAATATGATATGTCAAGAGCTTTGTAATGTTTTGAACAACCAATAATAAAAATTTAAAAAAGAAAAGTATTTGCTCTTGCAAAAAGAAAAATGGCAATGATGTTATCTGTAGTTGATGATCTGCTTATTATTCATGCATCC